TCACCCGGGCACTTCAGCCTTTTCTGCCTGCGTGGTTAGAAGAAATTTGATCCGGTTAGGTAGCGTCCAGTAGTAGCTGCTGATGCAGTCATCAGAATATCTAGCGATCAAGCCAGTATGAGACACCGTCCCTCAAATCCTTCCAGTCTGAGTATTTGAAAGATAGAATATCGATACTCATAGGTGTTAAATACACTTACAGACCTACCTAGAGGCACGGTCGTCAATCTGCGAAATAGAGAAGAGGAAGACCAAGACAAACAAAGAGGGTTGATACGAAACAAAAACCTATCTACCTTCAAGGTGGAAACCATCACTGGATTTCACTGAACTCATTATAGCGAGGTATCATAGATCGCAGACAATATACTTTGAGAAACTTATTGCGCAGCACTTAGCCCTTTCTGTTTCTTCACGCAGGAGGCCTTTTATACTCGTGAAGAAGGAATAGTAGACTATACTAAATACCTGAACCTCGTTTAGTTTACTAGTTAAATAGTTACTAGACGGTCCTATGCCCGGATGAAGAAATAAGGTTGGGCATACGACTAGCAATCCTACCCCGTAAAACCAATCCAACCGCTACAGAGATTTCAAAGCACAGACAAAACATAAAAGATGAAAACAAATTTATTCCTCTCTGGAATCGAGGAGACGAAATGACGCCTGTTGGTGAAAGTCTTCGACAAGACAATTGGCCGATGTGTCTTCTCTTCTCTCTTCTCTCGATGAAAGCGAAAGTAAACATAGAGATATGAAATGTCCACACAACATTTGAAGCTGGCTGGCAAGTCTGCACAGATTACGAAAGAAGTGAGAAGATATGGGATAGAAGTGTTAGGCTAGGAATCTGCAAGGAATCAGCAGATGGAATGGAAGGGGACTCTACAAACTCTCAACTGGAGAGTCAATAATCCACTCCAGTATTGTCACACAGACGACAATCACGAGCACAGCACACTGAGTTCTCGAGTGGTTACCAAGATGTCCCCAAGAACATCGAAGACTGTCTCTCATATAGTGGGAACCAATCTCCTCCACGATCAGGATGATGACAGCAAGGTTCAACTCAAAAGGAAGTAAAGTCACAATCGTACAATACTACACTGTGCACCTACAACTAATGCAGATGAAAAGAAGAAGGATGAATTCCAGAGACAACTGCAATCAGTCAGCACTGAACAAGACCCCTTCCCAGTTGACAACATCAAAATTCATTCTCACCGGTGATGTGACATGAATGCGAAACTGAGAGTGGACAACACAGGAAGAGAATTGACTATGGGTCGAGAAGCGCTCGGTGAAGTGATCAACGAGAATGGAGAACTGTTTGCAGAATTCTGCTCATTCAACGATTTGGTGATTGGAGTCAGGCAGTGTGTACAAACCCAAGCATATCTATCCACAAAGCGATATGGATTTGATTTCACCAGACACCAGGACACACTACACTAAAATCGGATTGACTTGATCTCGATGTGAAGAAAGTGGAGATGCAGTCAGCCTAGTGGACACAAGAACAGATGACGAGGAGGAGAAGATGTAGGTTCACACCACTCACTATCTGTTGCATGTAACCTCCCTTCACAATCAAGTTGAAAGCCTTCAATGAAGTTGGTGATAGACTACAGTTCAAGTCCAAGTTGAACATCCAAAACAGAAACTGAACATGAACTGAACTGAAGGATGAAACTACAAGGGATATCTTCACGTTAGCCATCAGGAAAAGGTGGGAGACATTCAGCAGCATCCCTGAAGAAAACTGGGTGGAGTAACACTGGAACTCTGTGAAGGAGATGTGGAAGGAAACCTATTTAACCATGTTAGGAAGGAAGAAGAAGCAAGGTAAGACAAGGAATGGATCTCGATAGGCATATGGAGGCTGATAGAGAAGGGATAGTTAGATAGTGAAGCAGAATTTGAACCAGCACGGTTCAGTGCCGGGATGAACAACGAGAAGGGGAACTGAGTACAACGTTTACAACACTACGCTGTACAAATAAGTGAAGGAGGGTGTGCGGAAACACAAAAGACACTTCTACGACACACTTGCAGGTGAAGCAGAACAGGCTGCAGGTAGGAGAGACAGAGACCTGACAATACTATATCAAATAATCAGGTTACTATCTGGGATTGGAAAGATCAACACAGCAGAGATGAAACTAATGAAGGATAGCTAAGGAAACTGAGTTAACAAAGAGGAGAAAGAAAGGTAACGGTGCACTGACCACTTCAAAAACTCTTGAATCGACAACCACCACCAGTATCAGCACCACATATAACTCGTCCAGAAATAACACCAACTGCACAGCCACCTAACTATCAGTGAACACAAGCCCTCCGATAAAACCAGGAGTGAAGTCATGAAAGACGTAAAATTGCTGAAATCCAGGAAAGCAGCAGAAACAGATCGGATTCCTCCAGAAACAATGTAAAGCTGATACAGACACACCAGAGGACATGCTCACACAACTACTGTACAAGCTATTGCATGAAGGAAGGAAATATACCTGCCTATCGATTGGAAGAAGGGCTACCCTGTCAAACTCACAAACAACGGAGACCTAAGTCTTTGTAAGAACTGACACGGAATCATGCTCCACTCCGATCCACCCAAAGCAAGTGAAATATTATGCCGCATCATCCTCCTGGAGACACTGAAAAATACTCTGCATTCAAAATTACGACTGAAACAGGTTGTCTAGCTGACTTCAGGAAGAATAAATCATGTGTGGATCAAATGGCAACGCTACACTACACATCATCATTGAAGAGAGCATAGAATGATAGTCAACTGGACTTTGACCTCGAGCTCATCGAATGTGGAAAGGCCTTCGATCGAGGCGTCGACCGAGAAGTAATTTGGCAGACAGCTACTCCAACACTACGGTTTCAGTGCCACAAACATTTATCAGCCTCACTCAACAGCTGCTGTATGCTATGTGATGTAAGCTACATGTCAAGTGATTCACAATGGAAAGCGTAACTCAGTAATGACTTTCAAGTGAAGACATGAGGGAGTAAGACAAGTTTGCCACCTACTATCATCACTGATCATCTTCCTGATTGTGGTCGACTCTACTGCACTGCGCTGGATCATACAACAAACTACGAGGAGAAGGAAGAGGAACATACGCTGCCTCATCGATGAAACGACCACAGAAGAAGATTCGCATTTCACCACTCACAATTTATGCCGAATGTCCTGTCGCACAGACTCGAAGATCTACAGGTAAATGCCAACAAGTTGACAGGAGAGGCAACGAGGGAAGACGCAACTCCAAGTGAGCGTGAAGAAGACAGAGGTGATGAAGATACCTGACCAACCAACCAACCAACCAACCAACAACAACACGAAGCACCAATCACAATGAAAGGGAGAAATGTAAACCAAGTTGAATCTTTCACCTACCTGCCTACCTACCTACCTGTCCACCTAGACAACATCGTTTCAACTACAGGCAGTGGAGCAGGCACAGATGAGGATGTCAAAGTCAGGATCTGAAAGACAGCAACACAGATCTTCATCAATCTGTGGAGATCGGTGTAGAGATCTACTCCACTACACTACACTACACTCCATTACACCACACTACACTACACTACACTACACCCACTCCACCACACTACACTCCGCCACACTCCACTCCACTCCACTACTCTACACTCAGCATACAGCCTCAACATGATCCGCATTCTCAACAACAATGTCAGTCAACTAATTCAGTGCTCCTATCTGATGCTTGAGAGAATTGACACCTTACGAAAAGCATTTCAAACAAACTGCAAACATACATCATGATCGGCTGCCACCTACACTCACTCGGTGGTGAGGATGGAGATCAGATGGTGAGAATACTGAGAATAAGCCAGGAGGAAGTCTGGCTGACAATCAACCAACCAGCCAACCAACCAGGCAAGCGACTAACCAATCAACCAAGAAGTCATCGCTGAACAATACACAATATACACTGGAAGGAAGTGGAGATGGATTGCATCTGACATACACTGAGAACTCAAAGGGGAAACGACGAGTTTGGCATCCGAGGTGAAGTTGACAACGAGGAGATGATGTGAGGAATAAATGAGAGTTTGTGGGGATTGATGGATTCAGGTTGAGGAGACTTGAGAGGATAGAGTGAAACTGTAACGTGCTATTGAAGTCCTATATATCACTAGGAACCCAAAGGTCAAATAAGAATACTAATCATGTTTAACCTACACAAAGACGGACCTGATCACTTAGTAAAGGTTTCCTTATTTTGGTTAAGTGTGACAACATGCTTGCGTAACTAATATTTTTATATCCAGCCGCTTAGACAGTCTCTAAATCAATGGAAGTTAGTGTTCATACTCCAAGAATTAACATAATGAATTTCGTTCCATTAGTATAGCTTATTTGGCACCGAAACAGTAAACATTCAAGTTGACTTAGTGTTTTTTTTGTATTATCCCCTCAAGGACTAATTACGAGTCATAATCAAACTTCCCAGGATGGAACTCTGGCAACGAACCAACCAAGAACTTATCACTCAACAAATATGCAGAGGGAAGTGGAGATGGGTTGGGCATACACCAAGAAGGCTGACTGGGGACATCACGTACCAGGCCATGCCCTCGAGTGGAACCCCTATGGGAAGCGACGAGTCGGGCGTCGGTGCCGAGGGTGACATGGAGGAGATCGTGTGAAGAGGAAATGAGAGGCTGAGGACTGTCGTGGAGCCAGGTTCAAAAGTTTGCAGAGAAGAGAGTGCACTGGAGACGTGCTACTGAAGCCCTATTTTCTATTAGGAACCCAAGGGACAAATAATAATAATTCAAACTTCTCGCATATGAAACTGTACACATCAAAATTAAACGTCCCATAACGTCACGAAAATCTCTCAGTTCACCTTAGAAGTAAGAAAAGTTTACTGATAGCTAAAAAATGATCGATACCAACATTCAAATTCAAGCATTCGAAGCACTCAACAACAGAGTAGCTTCCAGAAGAAGAAAATATGAAAGATTACATATATTTACTTTGAATTGTAAACAGAAGTACTCATTAGAAGCAAAAGGAGAAATAATGAAGATGATCGTTTTAACTATACTTTAAATTAAAGTCAAGTTTTCTCCTATATGATGAAAAGGTTTCATAGACTTCATCTCCATTATTGATTTGATAGATCTTAACTGGCTACGTATTCTCTAAAATAAAAAAAAATATTAGAATTATGCAAAATGAGTTTTCGATGGATATATATGAATTCAAAATAGAACAGGATATTGAATGAACAGGCTTATGGTTGTGAAACGCCAAACTAAAGGTAATACGGAGTACCTTACCCTCATTGTTTGATATATGGATTATGTAACGAAGCGTAGTATTCTCTTATGATAGGTTTAATGAAAGATAATCTGTAACTGGACAGCAGGGTAATATTTATCTTGATTAGAAGCGAGCAAAAAGCAAACTTTCACAATTTGATTAGTTCGCAAATTCATGATTATCGACTGCATGAAATTGATGCGTTTAACTAACTGACTGGATGAAGAAAAATGTTTCACAACTAACTTTGACCTCGAATACATTTTACCTCGATGAAAATAATCAGAAATATTTAGAAACCTTAAGAGAATAAGTTATCGTTGATTATTTGTCGTGAGGCAAGTTCATGCAATAAAAAAGATGTCTCTGAAGTATGATGCTCAAGTACCCTTGAATATATGATCTAAAATGATGGTAACATAAAGTTTGTGACTAAAATTATAGGCAATTTATGTACAACAGTATAACAACCGGCTTTCTTAGAATTTAGTGACTTTTTTAAGGTAGCCGAATGGCTCTGCCATAGTTACTTGCCAAGGTATCAATGTGAAAAACTCTACATGGTACGATCTAGTGTTATCAGTATTTGTGCTGCTAACCAGGAAAACCGGGTGTGGTCTATGCATCTGTGACTACCCGTTGAACCTAGTTATGCAACCATGGTTAGCTTCCATGTGGCGTTACTGGATATAAATTAATCAAACATCAGACTTGATCCAGTGGTAAACACAGTCAACGGGATGCATATGCGCAGATAAGTGGCACAGGTCTCCAAGGTTTCTATTCCAGAATTCGACCCAGTGCACTGGGGGCAGTGCGACCGAAAGTTAAAGGAATCCACAATCCTAATTTCGGTAGTCACTGTTGATGAAGTAGTTCGAAGATAGGATTTTAGTTTCACCTTGCGAAGGTGGTTGCTATTCAGTCCGGAATGTCCGGCGGCGTTTATCCTGGCCTTGGACGTATAACCAGCCAGAGAGAAGCCTCTGAAGTTGAATAACTGTGGTGAGAGGGGAATAATCTCCTCAAGAAGATGAGCTACATATCTTTTGCAAGATTGTTGAGTTCCACTGACACATCTCCCACGCATATCTGCCAACGGGTATTTGAGTACATTCAAACATCCCGAATGTGGATGCTCTACAGCTCTACAGTTGGGAGAGTTTTAGGATCACACTAAATAGTTCTGAGATGGCGTTTGCACAGTGTTTTGGTAAGAATGTTGGCTTTCAAGTAGATTCGTTGCTACAGTATTTCCTCCCCGTTGAGGGGACCGATCCCTGAGCTTTTCAGATAATAAGGTCTATAAAGATGAGATCCAGTCGATAAATGGAAGCTGGGTGGAGCGTTAGAGCAGAACTCTCCTCTAGTTCATGGATGAAAGGTTAGAAATAAGGCCTGTGCAGAATGTATCAAGGTGGACAAACGCATTTCCGGTGCATGTCCTGTTGTCTACATACTTAAAGAAAATTCTTTATTTGAATAAATTCTGAAAAAGGAAACTGGGTACAAGCTGTAGTGCTCACCAAGAAGGTTACCGCAGAACAGTCGGTATTTACTTCATTAGTATTGGAATACAGTGATTTTGTCTATTTTTTGGCTTTTCTAGAAAAGAAATATCCTATTGATTTTATTCCTTCATACGCTTCTTCACAAAACTTCCAAACAATACGAATGGTTGTGAAAGGCTTCAGGGATTTTGAGTAATTTATGTTCATCTATCTAATAGCATACTTTAGCACTACTCCAAACTTTTTGAAAGCGAATTAAAGTAAGACTGTAATTTCAGAATATTGTATAGTTCTAAGGAATTAACTTACAAAAATTGTCCAGTCATTTCACTGAAAGTGGAAAACATAATATGAATTCTTGGTTACATTTTGTTCTCTGGGCTGGGTTGTTTAATCATAAATCTTTCACCGTCTTTCTAGACGACATCATAAGCATTAACTTCAGTATGAAGTCTAGAAAGATGATGAAAGCTTCACGATTAAACAACCCAGCTTAGAGAACACAATACAACCAAGACCATCCACCTGAACTACAAATATTCTCCACTATTTCATAGTACGAATCACTTCACTTTACTTTTAAATGTTCTACCCTTTCTATAAAATATGTACACGAATGTATAGCTAAGAGAATGAATTTGTCGAGAAGCGAATATTTTCTTCACTCCGATCGTCTTTCCTCTTTTCCTGTGATCAAGTAAGCTTATTCAGATTTTCATAGTAGTCTGTATATGAAGACAAGACCTGATCCTTTTGTGCCAATATTTTTATTCTAGTAGGCTAATTTACGGACAAATGTAACCTTGATATAAAATTATATGACAAACTGGTTTATGCCACTGGTTTCAAGGTGACTTTCACACGAACAGTAGCAGTCGTAGTGTTTGTCTTCGAAATATTAGGTTAATAGGCTTAGCACTGTAGTGTGTTGGGCTTTGATATTTAATCATTGTGGTCGATTCGTATTCTATACTAGATTTATTTATTTGATACAGCCTACCATTAATCAGTGTGATTTGATGGATGACGTTTACAGTCCAACTAACTACTCGTAGTTATATCAAGTTGATACAATGTGTCATGACAAACAATAAGTCATCAATCAGTCATTACTGTTTCATTGTCCATTATAAGTGAAATCGAGTCAGAAGTCGAAATACAGGAAGTCATGTTTTATTTCAACTTAGTACTTTTGATACCCCCCGGTATGGTGTAAATGAAAAACTGTATGGATCGTACATTATCTCTAAAATCATAACTTTTGACAATTAGTCCTAAATCGGAAGGCTCTAGATCATGTATACTAAGTAGCCAGTGTGTGATGAGTTATGCTGTTGTGTTGATCGATTCATACTCAGTAGGTAAATCCATATTAAATATTAACAGATGAATAGTTCATGTCCAAAATACAACTCTACACAGGCCTAATCATGTTCTGAAAACATAATGAAGAGAGATACCAACTCTTACATCAAGAAAGCAGGCAGTTTTACTGAGACAATATTAAAAAAGGGATAATTCACTTGATTTCAAGAATTTAGGAACAAAGACCTGCTTTAAACCGATGATAGCAAACTATATTACTAAATTGAGTTCAATAGGATGATAGGCTTATTTTTGGTTTATGAGTTGACAAGAATTATTTGAAAAAGGGATTACTGATTCAAAGCATACATAATACATTATTTATCTATGAGCGTTACATTGAAGGTCACAGAATACCAGTAATCTGCAATGGAATTAACAGTCTGTCTGCGAATCGCTGTCATAATCATCTTTCATAGATTCTAGTTAAACGGAAAAGAATAGACATTTCTACAAACAACAAGACCCAAACATGCCAACCCTATAATTCATCCCATAAGTGAAATCGCAGTCCGAGAATCATGTGATAACGCCGAATTCCAAATGATTCACAATGGAAAGCGTAACTCAGTAATGACTTTCAAGTGAAGACAGGAGGGAGTAAGACAAGTTTACCACCTACTATCACCACTGATCATCTTCCTGATTGTGGTCGACTCTACTGCACTGCGCTGGATCATACAACAAACTACGAGGAGAAGGAAGAGGAACATACGCTGCCTCACCGATGAAACGACCACAGAAGAAGATTCGCATTTCACCACTCACAATTTATGTCGAATGTCCTGTCGCACAGACTCGAAGATCTACAGGCAAATACCAACAAGTTGACAGGAGAGGCAACGAGGGAAGACGCAACTTCAAGTGAGCGTGAAGAAGACAGAGGTGATGAAGATACCTGACCAACCAACCAACCAACCAACCAACCAACCAACCAACCAACCAACAACAACAACAACACGAAGCACCAATCACAATGAAAGGGAGAAATGTAAAACAAGTTGAATCTTTCACCTACCTGCCCACCTAGACAACATCGTTTCAACTACAGGCAGTGGAGCAGGCATACATGAGGATGTCAAAGTCAGGATCTGAAAGACAGCAACACAGATCTTCATCAATCTGTGGAGATCGGTGTAGAGATCTACTCCACTACACTACACTACACTCCATTACACTACACCACACCACACCCCACTCCACCACACTCCACTCCACTCCACTACTCTACACTCAGCATACAGCCTCAACATGATCCGCATTCTCAACAACAATGTCAGTCAACTAATTCAGTGCTCCTATCTGATGCTTGAGAGAATTGACACCTTACGAAAAGCATTTCAAACAAACTGCAAACATACATCATGAACAGCTGCCACCTACACTCACTCGATGGTGAAGACGGAGATTAGATGGTGAGAATACTGAGAATAAACCAGGAGGAAGTCTGGCTGACAATCGACCAACCAGCCAACCAACCAGGCAAGCGACTAACCAATCAACCAAGAAGTCATCGCTGAACAATACACAATATACACTGGAAGGAAGTGGAGATGGATTGCATCTGACATACACTGAGAACGCAAAGGGGAAACGACGAGTTTGGCATCCGAGGTGAAGTTGACAACGAGGAGATGATGTGAGGAATAAATGAGAGTTTGTGGGGATTGATGGAGTCAGGTTGAGGAGACTTGAGAGGATAGAGTGAAACTGTAACGTGCTATTGAAGTCCTATATATCACTAGGAACCCTGAGGACAAGTTATATTGTTAATAAATCAAATCGAAACACTTGAAACTAACATTGTTGAAAGTAAATTTCTTACCCAAATAAACCAAAAAGTATTCTAAAAGTGGAAAGCAGACATGAACAGTAAGCTAAACTATTTGTGTTCAATTATCAATATTACATGTTGATGCGAGAAAACCGAAATGCCTCACGATCATGTTGTCAATATTAAAAGCAATTGATATACTTTATGCAAACAGTTCACTATAGTGACGCATCTTGAATGAAGTAATTGTAAAAAAGTCTGAATGTTCTAGTTTCTTCTTATTTTGCTTAAACTTCAGTTAGTATTTCATAATGCTAATTTGATTGCAAAATATAACCAAAAATTACAGTTAATCATTGCTAAGAGAAAGAAAATTTGGTTACCTGACTAATTTTCTCTGTTTGCTCTTTTCAAGTGATAGAACATTCTGATAAATACTTGAAGAAATTGAAATCAATTCTATGCATCTAAGCACTACGAGAGAATATCTTCCAGGTTGCCTACTGTTTAGGGTGTTAGTTATTATTTTCAACTTCATAGAGTCACTATTACTTCTTCGTTGAAAATTCTACTGGTTCCTTCCATGATGATAAAATCCTGTACATATGAGTAATTTTCTCATAAAATTAAAAGAGTTTCACTATAAGTTTGGTTTTTTCAAGTGTGATTTACTCATTATTTGTCTGATTTTCAGAAAATTAATTGAAAATATTTCATTGTATGATAAAGAGGAATTCAAATTCCCTTTTGCTTGATCTGTTACATATTCATACAGTGCAACATTGCTACTGAGTGAATTATAGTTTGTACCTAATTTATTATCCATAATCACAAGGACGTTATGTCTTCATCGTTGGCTGAAGTTAAATGCATAACAATGAGATATAATTCCCATAGTGTTCTAGTACTCCCTTCTCCTGTACGACATGCGTTATAATGTTAGTGAAATAAACAAGAAGTTTGCTGATTTATTCCTATTGTATGTATTAGCTGCTGATTCGATAAACAAAGATTCGGTTACTAATCTGGAGTGGAGTGGAGTAGATCTCCACAGATTGATGAAGATCTATGTTGCTGTCTTTCCAATCCTGACTTTGACATCCTCATCTGTGCCTGTTCCACTGCCTGTAGTCGAAACTATGCTACCCATGTGGGCAGGTAGGTAGGTAGGTAAGTGGGCAGGTGGGTAGGTGAAAGAAGCAACTGGATTTAGATTTCTGCTGTTGGTGGTGATTGGTGATTGGCGTTGTTGTTGTTAGTTAGTTAGTTGGTTCGTTGGGCATCTTCATCACCTCTGTCCTCTTCACGCTCACTTGAAGTTGCGTCTTCCCTCGTTGCCTCTTCTGTCAACTTGTTGGTATTTGCCTGTAGATGTCCTATTGTACTCAAAGATTTTCGATGCTTACTCATCTGGATTAACACATCCCCTCATTCTTCAGTCACCAAAATACACTACTCTTTTCTGTATTTATTATCCGATCTTATGATGATAAAGAAGATTTGTTGTTGTTGAAGAGGAAGTTTTTCATGGTGTTATGTTCTTTGTGCTGGATGGTTTAGTCGTGTAGCTTTCATTGTCATTCTAGGCAACATTGTTAGCACAAACTTCAGAAAGAAGTGAGATATTGGGTTTTCTGCACAAGTGGCTAATTAGCTTATCCTGATGGTTTTGTATGTGACTGGCTACTTCTGCCAAGGTCTTTTCATTCTTTTCATATTTAATTTGATTGGCTATCCTACTGACATGAACCTTGACTTTCAATAAGAAATAATGAGAAGGTCAAAGTTCATGTCTTTAGGGCAACCAGTCGAAATATATTTAGAGAGAATGAAAAGACCGTGACAGAAGTAGCCAGTCACATACAAGGCCATCAGGTCAAGCTAACTAGCCACTTGTACAGAATACCCAATATCTCACTTCTTTTTGAAGTTTGTGCTAACGATGTTACCTAGAATGATTATGAAAGCTTCACAACTAAACCATCTAGATCACAGAACACAACACTAAAATAATTATCTGACCAACCTAGAATTGTACGTCACAGTTACCAGAATGACTTGACTATCATTTTCTGAATGTGACATCACTACTGCGGTTACATACATATAATAGATAAGCAAAATACAGAAATGGAAAAAATATTTAGATTGAAGAACTGCCAGAGTTTAAAATTTCGTGTATTGCAATTCAGTGAGCGCTAAACGACATGAAATTGGTTACTCTCCAGTCAATAGTCAATGTATCAATTTCAGCCATATAGGAAGTCAGTCACAGCCTGAATAAATCAGTGGTAACCTTCCTGACTGCCACACTAGGCGGTATGGATTCGAACCTAAGGCAGAACATTAGTGTTTTAGAAGCTGCAGTAAGAAATTGCTTTGTTTTCAGTGTGTTACTCAACTCTTTTTAAGATATTTTTATCCATCTACTGTGTTGAATTTTACTACAAGCATAATATTAAGTTGTGTTATAAATAATATCAGGTTATTAATTACCATTCTCTTTTCTAATTGGAAACAGATTTCTCCAGTGGAAAACAAAATGACTGTTGGGGTGAAATCGATGTAACACTGATAACGTCCTCCCTAGGTGGATTAGACGATTGGATTCCCTGATAAGTGAACAATTTAGTTTCATAAGCATAAACAACATCATAAAAGCATACCGAATCAAAGTGGAATTTGATCTGAAGATCACCATTGATGACATAATTCTTGACTAAATTTAGATGATTATTTAAGAGGGCAAGTTCTTAAATGTCATCTAGTGTCTTATGCACATGAGTTTGTTGTCTTTTATTATTATTATTATTATCATTATCATTATTATTATTATTATTGTTACTATTTGTCCCTTGAGTTCCTAATGGAAAATAGGGATTCACTAACACCTCTTCATTCCACTCTCTTCTCTGAAATCTTTTCAACCTGGCTCCACCACTGCCCACAACCTCCCAATTCCTCCTCCCACCATCTCCTCCATGTCACCCTCGGCACCCACGCCCAACTCGTCACTTCCCATCTGGGTTCCACTCAAGCGACTGGCCTGGCACGTGATGTCCTCAGTCGGCCTTCTCAGTGCATGCCCAATCCAATCCATCTCCACTTCCTTCCAGTGCATATTTGTTTAGCGGTAGGTTCTTGCTTCGTTGGTTCATCATCAGTCAGAGTTCCTTGTTGCTTATTCTCATTATTCTGACCATCTGATTTTCAGTAACGAGCCAGTGTAGGCAGTTGTTAATGAATGTGTGTAGTTTGTTGCAAATCCCTTTCGTAACGCGCCAAGTCTGTCAACCATCACATGGAAGCACTGACTTGACTGGACTGGTGTTGAAAATCCGGATGTTGTTCACGCTTTATGCGGAGTGCAAAAGATCTCCACACTGGTTTTAGGTTAATCAACTCCTGTCTTTCCTTTCCGATCCTGACTTTGACGTCCTCGCCTGTGCCGCCTGTAGTTAAGACAGTGTTACCTAGATAGGTGAAAGAGGCTACTTCTGTTGTGTTCAGTATGTTGATCGTTATAACACTGTCAAGTCAAATATATGACCAATGGAATACTTACGGTATTCCGGATGCACCAAAAAAATCACTTTTATCACTGAAAAATAACCAAGTTTAGCCATTTTGAAGTGAAGAATAAAATATCAGAGAAATGTATTTTCTTAAGAACATCATAATTAGACAATTACTAAGTACTTCAAGGATTATAGTTTTAAGGCCAGTATCCATCACAGATTGATATCAGCTGGATAACCTAACCTGCAAAGAACTAAACACTGAACCTTCTTGCCTCATGACGAATGCGTTAATTATTCACCCATTGCACCGGAGTTCAATTGTATATATTTCCTACCTCCTTCACTCCATGGTGACTACTACTTTAGGAATAAAATCATCATAAGACTTAAAATACACCACTTTATAGTGCTTATGCGTGAAATGCTTTCAGATGGATATCGCGAAATTCTAATGAGAAGCCATGACTTGTATGATCAATCGTTCGTAAGTGAAATGGATGTCACCCTAAGACCATGGTAAATAGTCGAGCTATATCATGTACTGGGAGAAGTAAGAAATTTTGCACCAGTGAATTCCTGCACATTGATTGAATGGTGAACGCATTGGCTTGAAGGTCCAGAGTATAATCCTTTGTAGGGTTATGGATGTGTTCTTCTGAGGAGTCCTATACTAGTACAATACAGCTATCCAATGTTCCGACGTTTTCATTGGTTCTCCAATTGGCCTCAGTGTGTGTTGAATACTGACTTAAGGATAATGGTTAGTAAATTTCTATCCAACTTTGATATCCTGGTAGAATTCAACGAGAATGAAATACTTCACTAGCTTCAAACTTAACATGAACTTATTTCCGATGAGTTCACTTGCTTCTAGATAGTGATAATCTAACACTTTCAAGTGATCATTAAGATAAACTGGAAGTTAAAGTCCATAAAACTGAGTGGTATCTTAACGATAGACATAACCTCATTAGCCTTTTTAACTGAAGTTATTGGCATTCAAACGTTGAACATTATCAACTGTTCTCTAGTTCATTCATTTATACGTGGATATAAATATGATCTGAATTTCTGACGTTAAAATTGATATCACATCAATCAACTCTGAAACAGAATTCATTTCAACAGTGATGTGTAATTAAAGTTCCTTTACAGTCTGGTATTCATAATTCTAACAAAAAAAACTTTCGATGATTTTCATATAGAATTTTTTTTCTGTAAAACGAACATTCTATCGAAACCCAGCTGTGATACATAATCCACAGAAGCAATATACTATCTAAACAAAATCATATACAACCATCGAGCATACTTGTTACTTCGATGATATTACTGAAACGAACTACTTTTCACACATGTCAGCACCAATAATCTATACATAAAGTAATCCTTAGAAATTATAAATCATTTGATGTATTATTCAACTTTCATGTAGTAAACGACATCAGAATACTAAGCTTGAACAAACATTTTAGCTTTCTGTAAACATATACACTTTTGGTATTTGTAAAATTCTTTGTGCAACTGATTAAATACTTACAGAATTCTTCTTCAAATGATAAAAAAAAGTTTCAAAAACGCCAATCTAACTGTTAGCTACAAGTAAAACATACTTGTAATTATATTAGTGACGGATAACAGATAGCGTTAGAATCCAAGATGCACGTTTTGTCCTACTTAGGACTTGTTAGCTGAACATACCTGACCCTCTAGTGAGTGATGTTATTCCCACTAAGACTCGAACTTAGAGCTGATCATTTCAAACGACACAGCATTATCAACTAGACCACCGAGCTATGATACCCATTTCTCGTGGGACAGGTATAGTGGTTTAATGTTTTTACTTGTGTTGTCTCGTCGTTGAATGGACCGAACTGTAATGTCCAGTCTTTCATTCAGTCCATTTCACATTGCATGTAAAATGTACAGCAATCTTGAAAGTAGTTGATTACTTTTTTTGCAATGACCGTTTTCCTCTGACTTCGGTATTACCATTCATTGGATAATACATAACTAGATTTTTTTCACGAACAAGATGACTTTACGCTGTTTTGTAACGATATAATTAGTAGTTCTGTTTTACACGAAGTTGTAAGTAAGTGGTTCATCATAAAAGTAAAGAACTACTTCATTTTAAAACTGTCGGTAATGTGTTATTCGCTCACCCTGTATATTTGACTTTGAACAATTCATTATCACTACACACTGAAGATTGGTAACGAAATATCAATAACAGTAATTATCGTCCACACTATTTCACAAACTAAGATATGACAATAAAATCATCCAGTTACCCGGAACTAGTCTACCAAATAAATTATCTCTCAGAGTGAACTCCAGGGCAGTATTAAGGCATCTGCTGAAGAGCCAATTTGCCAAAAGAGGTCGGGCACTTCGACCTAATATACCAATGGAAGATTATAAATGCATGAAGGAAGGAAATATACCTGCCTATCGATTGGAAGAAGGGCTACCCTGTCAAACTCACAAACAACGGAGACCTAAGTCTTTGTTAGAACTCACACGGAATCATGCTCCACTCCCATCCACCCAAAGCAAGTGAAATATTATGCCGCATCATCCTCCTGGAGACACTGAAAAATACTCTGCATTCAAAATTACGATTGGAACAGGCTGTCTAGCTGACTTCAGGAAGAACAAATCATGTGTGGATCAAATGGCAACGCTACACTACACATCATCATAGAAGAGAGCATAGAATGATAGTCAACTGGACTTTGACCTCGAGCTCATCGAATGTGGAAAGGCCTTCGATCGAGGCGTCGACTGAGAAGTAATTTGGCAGACAGCTACTCCAACACTACGGTTTCAGTGCCACAAACTTCTGTCAACCTCATTCAACAGCTGTATCCTATGCTATATGATTCTGTATGTCAAGTGATTCACACTGGAAGGCTCAGCTCAGTAATGCCATTGAAGTGAAGACAGGAGTAAGATACCTACTATCACCTGCCACCTATTATCATCACCGACGATCTTCCTGATTGTGGTCAACTGAACTTCTCTGGACTGGATCATGCAATAGACAACTGTGAGGACCAAGGAGTGCAGAGAGGGCACATAGCCATTTCATTCTCTTTTCTCCATTCTTGTCAACCTGGCTTCACCACTGCCCAATAGCTTCAATTTCTTCCTCATATCATCTCCTCTATATCATCCACGACTCAGACACCTAACTCATCGTTTCGCATTTGGGTTCCACCAACGGCTGACCTGGTCAGGCACGTGATGTCCCCATCTAGTCTTCTCAGTGTATGTCTAATCCACGCCATCTTCACTTTCTTCTGCGAAAAGCTATACCTTATTGTATTATAAAGAATCAAAGCAACTGAAGATATTTCCATGTCTATATTTACATATACATACATTTACTGGTATCTCCGCCTATCGAGTGGAAGGCATGGGTTCAATTCCCAGTCGAGGAGTGAGTTTAACCTCGCCTAGTTTACAAGTTCACTAGTTTACTAGCCTGTCCTAAGCCCGGATATAGAGGGAAGGTTGAGCGCAGAGTTAGCAACCCCACCACGTGAAATCAATCCAATCGCTAAAGAAACTTCAAAGCATAGAATCACGTCAGTGCTTCCATGTGATGATTGAGAGATTTGACACCTTACGAAAAGCATTTCAAACAAACTGCAAACACACATCATCAACAGCTGCTACCTACGTTCAGTCGATACTGAAGATGGAGATCAGAATAATAGGAATAAGCAACAAGGAACTCTGGCTGACGACGAACCAACCAGCCAATCAGGCAACCAGCTAACTAGGCAACCAGGCAACCAACCAAGAACCCATCGCTCAACAAATATGCATTGGAAGGAAGTGGAGATGGATTGGGCATACACTGAGAAGACCGATTGAGGAGATCATGCGACAGACCAGTTCAGGTCGTCGGTGGGACTCAAATGGGAAATGATGAGTTGTGTGTCTGACGTGCGGGTGACGTAGGAGATGGTGTGAGGAATAAATGATAGTTTGTGGGGAATGATGGAGTCAAGTTGACAAGGCTTGAGAGAAGAGAGTGAAATGGAGACGTGCTATTGAAGTCATATGTACTATTAGGAACCCGAAGGACAAATAATTATGATAATAACAAAATACAACTAGGTATCTGATGCTATCATAGACAGCAATGATCCATATTTTTCACTTACTCTTTATTTGGAGCTGCTTCAACTAAAAATCAAGTGAAAGACATTTAGAAAGACTTTGATATGTTCTCTGCACTTCTTTAATAAAGGATTATGATTATCCAGTTCTAACTTTTACGGAATAAACTAAATGTCACACAATAAAGCTCTTATCAGTCATTCGTTTTGTTATGCAAGTTGTGCAGGATGTTGAAACATTCGTTAGAACGACAGTGTCCACAAAGGAAATGTGATTTTGTCCATAAGTTTGAAAATAAGATGACAACAGGTCCTTTGTGCATCTTGTTTTTGTAAAGCAGAAATTTATTATACTTTCATATAACATAAGTAGAATTTGGGCTTTTAATCATTCAATCATGACTGGTAATTTCTGCATCTTAGTGATATGATGGTGTGATAGTTTTTGGTTGTGGAGTTAAAATGTCTATACGACGTGATGATTAAAGATGAAATGAAAATCTTGGTCATGACAGGATCCCGACCAGCAGCCTGTAGGTTACCGGTCCGGTCCTCTACTCAGCTGCTGACCTGATTATCGAGGGTTTTGTCTGGCTGCCATGTGAGTCTGTAATGCATAACTGTTTGTTCATCTAGTCAGGACTTTCCACCCTAATCAGAATCGAAATGAATTAGAGAAGGAGAGCATCATGTCGACTATCAGTCTGACTTTCTCAGATGGTCATGGATTGACAGACTTGTATTAGTGATACTAGGTGATGACGGACTCACAGTTATGTATCACAGATTCACACGACAAGCATGCAAAACCTTCGACGAAATTAGGATCTGGTCAGTAGCTCGGTTTCACAGGTGGTAGAGCACTGGGTTGATAACTTGCAAGCTGCTTCCTGTAATCCTACCGCCAACCAGATTTTCATTTCACCGACAAACTATGTCATATACTGAAGAATTCAGTAATTTGTGGTGTAATGAATATCAGATAGTTAAGATGAATACATTCCTGACAGCCACTAGGCCTGAGTATATTCATTTCAGAAGATTCTGAATAACACAACCGACAAAAGTGATCTGAAGTTTTTTTCAGGTGGCTTTACAGTACTATGAAACCAATTTCGCTACAAGGATTGTATGACAACTTTCACTGTGATAGTATATATATATATATATATATATATATATATATATATATATATATATATATATACCTATGACTGAACCAGGTGTAAAAACATGTCAAACGATAAATCATTGGAGTTTCAGTCCACCCAAAAACTATGATTTTGTCCTCAACTACCATGTCCTTTTGAAGACAGTTTTGTGTAACCAGCAACATGATTGATTCACTGATGAAGATGACAGTTGTTCTAATTTTTACAAACTCTTCAAAATTCACTTTCTTAATCTACTTTACCTTGAATATATCACTGATTCCGCTGAATAAAATCTATCATATGAGTTTACATAAGGTACTCCAATTCCTGGATACACTCTAGATGTCATTCATCATGCATATTTCATTAAGTTCTACACTGACCCAAATAATTAAAGTATAGTTTCTATGACTTTAAGTAAAACCATTAGTACGTCTTATTTACAATATACATTTTATAAAATAGGCTTGTAGCACTGGTAGGTGAATTGTTCAACTCAATTGAGTTAGAAACGTTTCATATTTTCCATCTACTGCTTGCCTACCATGTTACTTGACATTTTAAATCCATGGTATATGACAAGTTTTAATAAGGAACCTCAGAGGAAAGCAAAACTCTAACCAAGTTATTCAATTTTAATAGTGAGAGGAGATAAATATTGGAAAATCATTACTTCCTATTACATAATATTTAAGATAATAGACTATTAAAGACAGAAATTGAATAACAAACCATTAATGGATAAATATTTTCACATTTTAATATCCCAAAACAATCTGGTATAAGTAATCACAGTTTTTTACTGCTTACATTGCTTATTAATTAGATTACTTCACTACAACTAGTCTTCTTTAAAATGACTTTCATATATATCTAGAAGTACTGAGTGATTCCTGTATGATGGATCCTATTTAACTTGCTTTAGAAAGTTTGTCAGCGCATATTCTAGACTTTCTTTCTATGATTCACACCTACCAGTCTACAATCAAATAGCTGGTTAAAGCTTCCATAGACAAACAAGTACGTTTCATTTAAATCATTTTGATATTCTATACGTTACTCTGTGCATAGATCCTATGAACTATAACTTCTTATTTCTCCGTCTACTTGTTCTGCACACATCCAAAAAATTTCTATTACATTTCAAGGATTATTCACACACTGTAAGAAAAATGTTATCCACTTACTTTCACTGAAGATAGATATGATCACAACTAGAAGCGTGTACACGACACTAGTACGAAATGAATAAATCATGCCTAAATATTGTTCAATTGATAGACGGTGTGTACCAAAATTTAATACATACAACTAGGAGGTGGATTTCTTCTGCATTTATATCCTCATTCATTTTATGTTCAAAGGAAAATACACTATTTGTTTATGTATAGATCGTTAGAGTAAGACGTTGCTATTTACACCACTCACACACATACACACACAGAGGGCTACATGATGAGAAGTAACACTATTTATTCAATGAAATTCGAGGATTTATATTACACATTAAACAAGTTTATTTATTCACTAAAAATAATAACGATAATACAAGTTATAAGCAGTATTGTTACTTACAGCAGATGAAATCATATATTGTTTATTCACCTAGATAAACAGAAAACTCTTAGTTTTCCAGGTTTTACAATGAAATAATTACATTCGTAAATGTGGTCCATAATGAAAAATCATTCCATAGTTTGCGCAAGTGAAAATTTTCTTCATAAAATCTTCATTTGATTGAAAGTGGAGGGAAACTTAAAGTCATCTATTGGAAGAAGATATCTCATGTAAAACCTAAACACGTATTGTGACTTTTAGAAGATTAGGAATGATAAGATAGTGACAACTCAAAATTTTTATCATAAAAGAAAAGAAAATACAATTTTAGATAACTGGAGGCAATCAGTGGAAAGTCCTGTCAGACGTAGGTTTCGTCCTAGATGACACTTATTTATCTGAAACCTCAAGAAAACTGTGAAACCCGAACCCTCGTCACCCAGTATTGTAGGCAGCGAAGTTACTGACCTGAAAGCTGATCAGTAGAATGTTTTGACCCACGAATCTTATTTCTAAGTGAGTTTTTAGGTTTACATGGCACTCTAATCCCAGTTGGCCTTATTCAGAATCCTAAGGCGCCTTCTTTATATAATTATACTGAAGAGGTTTTGAATTCTTTCTTCATAGTACTCCCACTATTATTATTAACATTATTATTGCTACTATTAACACCCGTGTTGCTAATATTAGTTATGTTTTTCTAAAGAAAACCTGTATGGTTCAGAGACTTGGCGTGTTACGAAAGGGATTTCCAATAAACTACAGACATCCATCAACAACTGCATACGCTCGCTACTGAAGATCAGATGGCCAGAATAATGAGAATAAGCAACAAGGAACTCTGACTGATGATGAACCAACGAAGCAAGAACCTACCGCTGAACAAATATGCACTGGAAGGAAGTGGAGATGGATTGGATTGGGCATGCACTGAGAAGGCCGACTGGGGACATCACGTGCCAGGCCAGTCGCTTGAGTGGAACCCAGATGGGAAGTGACGAGTTGGGCGTGGGTGCCGAGGGTGACATGGAGGAGATGGTGGGAGGAGGAATTGGGAGGTTGTGGGCAGTGGTGGAGCCAGGTTGAAAAGATTTCAGAGAAGAGAGTGGAATGAAGAGGTGCTAGTGAATCCCTATTTTCCATTAAGAACCTAAGCGACAATAATAATAATAATTTTTCTAAAGACTCTTAAGGAACTAGTCAATTAATTTTGGAGGATAATTGTTCATGCGTAAGGTGTCCTTAATGCATCTGGTTTACTGTCTTAGATCTTCTGTTTTACTAGTACGTCTTCTGGCCCTGTTACTTAGATACTTTACTAAGTCAACTTTAACTGACATTGGGTGAGACAATTTGAAGTCCAAGTAACGATTTGAATGTGAAGGTTTTCAGTAAACACTTGTGTCTAAACTTCCATCCTGTTTTTCGTTTTATTCTACAATCCAACAGCGCTAATCTCCCTTCACTATTTTCGAATTCATAGGTGAATTGGACTGCATTGACTACTAAATTTATAAATGTGAAAAACTATGTATGTGTTCCGATTTCAACATTATAAACGTGTCATTTACATATCGAAACCATATTTTGTAGCCGGACTAAGTGTTCCTACAGTCATCCGTTTCCATCTTTTCATTACAATAGGGAATATTGGTTATCCCATGGTGGCTCCTTCTGTATGTTTGAATATTTCATTCTGAAACCTAAAGATTTTCCAAGTTAGGCACAGTTGTACTCCCAGCATGATATTGGTACCTTAGTTCGTAGTGTAAGCTTAGTCGGCTAGTTTAACCTGCTACAAGGCGTTTGGTATATTAAATTATTTTGTTTCACATATCAAAAAACTCTTTTGGACAACGAAGTTTGTCATTAAGTGAGAATGTAAGGAAAACTTTGACAGTATGATGAAATATGGATCCATTTCAGTGGATTTATTAGAAGTATCACTTAATGAAACAGTATTATTTGCTGGACTACATTTCAAAAACGACTTATTATCCGTATTGTACTCATATTGGTGGTTAGCAGAGGAATCCACGACACTTGAGACTAGCCAGTTGCATGTACCTGAACCTCAGTTAATGATGTTTCCACTGAACCTCGAGCCCTGTACCCTTCGCCTCAAATGCCAGAGCGTCATCCACAAAGCCACTGGCGCACGACAGCCACCTTGAGCAATTCGACCGTCTGTACCGACGAAGAATTACAAGTGCCACAACAATAAAAGATACCCATTAGATAGAAGGTGGTTCTCGTAATCCAGTGGCTTATTGGATAGACTTGTGGCGTTTGGAGCGAAGGGTGCTGGGATCGAGCTTCACGAGGTATTCGTAGTACTGCCATGCTCTGACATCGGACTTCAAATTTATATACGCGTCCTGATACACTTTCGTCTATTTATTATCCCTAACACTGCTGATCCAACCTCACCAAGTTAACTAGTTCACTAGTTACTAGACGGTCCTAAGCACGGATAAAGAAGGAAGGTTTGGTATAGGGTTAGCAACCCTACACCGTAAAACCAATCCAACCGCTACAGAGATTTCAAAGCACAGACAAAATATAAAAGATGAAAACAAATTTATTCCTCGCTGGAATCGAGGAGACGAAATGACGCCTGTTGGTGAAAGTCTTCGACAAGACAATTGGCCGATGTGTCTTCTATTCTCTCCTCTCGATGAAAGCGAAAGTAAACATGGGGACATGGAATGTCCGAACCATGTATGAACCTAGCAGGGCCGCCCACATTGAAAAAGAGATGAGGAGGTATAGCATAGAGGTGCTAGGCTACGAATCTGCAAGGAATCAGCAGGTGGAATGGAAGTGGAATCTCCAAACTCTCGACTGGAGAGTCAATAATCTACTCCAATATTTTCACCCAGAGGATAACCATGAGCACACTGAGTTCTCGAGTGTCTATCATGATGTCCCCAAGAACATCGAAGGCTCTCACACCGTAGAAACCAATCTCCTCCACGATCAGGATGATGACAGCAAGATTCAAATCTAAACGAAGGAAATCACGATCATACACTGCTACTCTTGAATCGACCATCATTGCCACCAAAAACCCGTCCAGAAATACCACCAGCAGCCACAGAGCTACCAGTGGACACAAGCCCTCCGATAAAACCAGGAGTGAAGTCATGAAAGACGTAAAATTGCTGAAATCCAGGAAAGCAGCAGAAACAGATCGGATTCCTCCAGAAACAATGAAAAGCTGATACAGAGACACCAGAGGACATGCTCACACAACTACTGTACAAGCTATTGCATGAAGGAAGGAAATATACCTGCCTATCGATTGGAAGAAGGGCTACCCTGTCAAACTCACAAACAACGGAGACCTAAGTCTTTGTAAGAACTCACACGGAATCATGCTCCACTCCCATCCACCCAAAGCAAGTGAAATATTATGCCGCATCATCCTCCTGGAGACACTGAAAAATACTCTGCATTCAAAATTACGATTGGAACAGGCTGTCTAGCTGACTTCAGGAAGAACAAATCATGTGTGGATCAAATGGCAACGCTACACTACACATCATCATAGAAGAGAGCATAGAATGATAGTCAACTGGACTTTGACCTCGAGCTCATCGAATGTGGAAAGGCCTTCGATCGAGGCGTCGACTGAGAAGTAATTTGGCAGACAGCTACTCCAACACTACGGTTTCAGTGCCACAAACTTCTGTCAACCTCATTCAACAGCTGTATCCTATGCTATATGATTCTGTATGTCAAGTGATTCACACTGGAAGGCTCAGCTCAGTAATGCCATTGAAGTGAAGACAGGAGTAAGATACCTACTATCACCTGCCACCTATTATCATCACCGACGATCTTCCTGATTGTGGTCAACTGAACTTCTCTGGACTGAATTATGCAACGAAGTATGAGGAGCGAGAAAAGGGCCATGAGCAGTTTGAGTGTTGAAGAGACTCCAGGAGATTTGGATTTCGTCACTGATGATTTATGTCTAAAGTTGCACAAACTCGAAGATCTACCACTGAAAACCAACAAGTTAGCAGTAGAGGCAGGGAACAGAAGACGGGATATCCTTCAGGTCAATGTAGATAAAACAGACGTGATGAAGATACCCAGCAAACAACAATAACGACAAGCATCAAAGTGGAAAATCCAAAGGTAGCTATCTCTTTCACCAACTTACCTTCCTACCTGCCCACCTAGGCAGCACTGTTTCAACTACAGGCAGTGGAACAGGCATACATGAGGATGTCAAAGTCAGGATCTGAAAGACAGCAACACAGATCTTCATCAATCTGTGGAGATCGGTGTAGAGATCTACTCCACTACACTACACTACACTACACTACACTACAACACAATACACCACACTCCACTACACCCCACTACACTACACTACACTCTGCCACACTCCACTCCACTCCACTACTCTACACTCAGCATACAGCCTCAACATGATCCGCATTCTCAACAGCAATGTCAGTCAACTAATTCAGTGCTCCTATCTGATGCTTGAGAGAATTGACACCTTACGAAAAGCATTTCAAACAAACTGCAAACATACATCATGAACAGCTGCCACCTACACTCACTCGGTGGTGAGGATGGAGATTAGATGGTGAGAATACTGAGAATAAACCAGGAGGAAGTCTGGCTGACAATCAACCAACTAGCCAACCAACCGGGCGAGCGACTACCCAATCAACCAAGAAGTCATCGCTGAACAATACACAATATACACTGGAAGGAAGTGGAGATGGATTGCATCTAACATACACTGAGAACGCAAAGGGGAAACGACGAGTTTGGCATCCGAGGTGAAGTT